GATATAAAGGGCGCTCATATTATAAGGTAAGGTTATAAAACCACCTTTTAAGATCATTTTAGTGAAAGTTTCATGTTCCTATCTCATAGAATTTAAGAACAATGATGAATAAATCATTTTCGAGCAAAATTTAAATGGCCGGCTGAATATATTACCGCCGGAGACGCAGCCGCGGAATTTAAATGACCGCGCCAAAGGGTTAACATCTCTTCAAGGAGCTCTGTGCAAGCTCCAATTCAATTCAATTCAATTTATTTTTGTTCATCAGATCTACATTTGGCGATGGCGCCTCCAGATATAGAACACGTCGAAGCCCAAGTTACAATAAAATTAATCCAGAGGACGTCATAAAGATACCACAACATATTTACAACCACTGTTGCAATAACTATTGACACAATGTTATAATTAAATACAACATGCATATAACACTTTCATTGCAACCTATTATCATAATAAAATACATATTAACATTGTCTATAATAGAGAAAAAGCATATCTAAACAACTATAGGTATCCTATAATAAAAGTTTTAAAAATGACTAGTGTTGTTTTATTTATCTGTAATTAACACAATCATCCCTTGTTTTCCATTCATAATACTCATCTAAAGATGACAAATTTACAATTTTCCCATTTAAATTATTTGGCTTGTTGCTATTACTGGTCTCTCTTGATTCTGAATAAAAATCTTGGTTACCTCTTCCAATTACCATAAAAAATCATTATTCAATATTAGTGGGGATCTCTCTGAACTCTTAGATATTCTTAATTCTTTACTTGAAGAGTTACCCATATTTACTAAATTTTCTGAGCTATTAGTTTGTGTCAAATCATCTGAATTATTTTTCACTTTTTTGTCTGGTTCCTCACAATTTACAGTAGTGGGTGTTTTCATTATCCCATCCTTTACTATTTCTCTGAGGACTTCCTTCATATTTCTCATTTCATCACTTGGAAGCTGATTACTCTTATCTGTCTGTTCTATTAACCAGTTTGGACTAGTCTCTTTACTTACATGTTTCCAATTCAAACCTATTATGCTACTTACTTTCTTATCAATGAGCCTTCTAACTTCATTAGCCACTTGTTTTGCAATTTGCTGTTTTCCTAATTTATTTAAATGTAATCCATGACTCGTGAAACCTTCTCTATTATTATTCATTTCAATAATAGTAACATGTTTAAGTACTTTAGTGAATTTTCTTAGTTTTCTATTGAATATGTGGATTTCTCTATTGACACAGGAGGTTTCCATCAGGTCATACCTGTGAGGGATATCTAGTGTAATTATATTTACATTATTGAAATCCTTACAGAATTTTACGAACTGTGTTAGTGCTAGCCTTGTGTTATATACACATCATTAGCTCCTCCCTGTACTACTATTCTCTAATTCTGATTCACTGATGTAAGAATATCCTCAATGCCCGCACCCGGTTTAATCATACCCATTACTGCAAATTTATCTCCTAAGTAATCACTTGTGTTTCTTGCCATTCTCTTACAATGGCTATCACCTATTATCATTATTTTATGCTTATTTATCTCGTTTAGTCCTTGGTTAGTTCTTTTAATGTTCTTAGTTTTTATAATTAAGTTAAGCTTAGAATTTGGTGAAAGCATGTTGTTATCTCTCTTATCAGTTCTTACTTCCATATTCACGATCACAATCCATATAATTACGTTAGATGATGTAGTTACTAATTAAATTGCACAGATTTCAGAATCGTCCTCCTTGCACTGATAAGAAATAGGAATTTTACTCAAATGTTGATCTGTCTTAACAAAATACACATGCCTTCCCATTGCAGTTTTTTTAGCAATAACTCGAGCCCAAGAGGTAACCAATGTACCAGTCTGCTCATAATGTAGGTAAAATTTCAACAAATCTGAAGACTTATAGAACTGAAGAAAGAATAATACTAATGAGTTCTTGTACACTTTAAATGTTCTCAGTGAGAAGTTCAAAACATTGGCCAAGTAATGGTGACATCTATAAATTTCTATATTTATCTCATATGTATTTCAGTATTTGACACAGATATATTATAGGTTACTGCAGGGCTGTCCAACATCAAACCACTGAGGGCCACACAAAACTTTTGGTACTTATCCATGGGCCATGAAGGCCCACATGGTTGTGAGACATCGAGGCTCCCATATCTAGGAAATCAGCTCACAGATGGCAGTGAGGTTGTCAGCCTTATACACCAAAAGCCATTTATCCCCAAGGATGATTCCTTGTACTCTTAGAGGCTAAGTCAACCCGAGGGCCATAGTGCAACTGGAAGGATTGGGTTGACTGAAAATCTAATGATCTCATCAGGATTCAAACCCACAGCATTTCAGCTTGTAACAAAGTGCCTCAACCAACCATGCTACTGTGTGGCTATACAACAAGAGCAGTCAGTCATAAGCTGGAAGAGCAGATTGGAACTACAAATATAGAGTTCAAGTTCAAGGCCCGGTTCAAGACAGAATCAGTTCACGGCAGTTAAATGTGACAGAACCAGTTCAGAGCAGAATTCCTGAGTTACAAGTTATGAGTGAATAATAGTGGTGAAAGGACACAGAGGCGAGAGGAAACCCACAGAGTTGAACAGAAGACGACAGATTAGTCAGTTGCATCACATGGAAGACTTTATTTTTGAGTAATTGTAATTGTAATAAACTTATCCAAAAAATTGCTTCATCTATTCTGGATCCCATTAACTTCTTGTTGCGTTACCAGGATATGTGACAATGTGTTGCTGTCTCATCACTAGAATGAAGGGCAAAATCATGACATAAAGATAGATAACAGATGGTTTGAAAATGTGGCACAGCTCAAATATTTGGGAGTGACAGTAACCAAATCAAAACCTGATTCAGGAGGAAATTAAGAGCAGACTGAATTCAGGTAATGCTTGCTACCATTCAGTGCAGAACCTTTTGTCTTCTCATCTGCTGTCTAAAAAAAATTAGAATATACATAACAACAATTTTGCCCGTTGTTCTGTATGGGTGTGAAGCTTGGTCTCTGACATTAAGGGAGGAACATAGACTGAGGGTGTTTAGGAGAATATATGGATCAAAAAGAGATTAAATGACAGGGTTGGAGAAAAGTGCATAATGAGGAACTTCACATCTTGTACTCTTCTCCAAGTAGAATGATCAAGTCAAGGAGGATGAGATGGGGATGGCATGTAGCACGAAGAGAGGAGAAGAGGAATGCATATAGGATATTGGTGGGAAAGCCAGAAGGAAAGAGACCACTACAAAGAAAAAGATGTAGGTGGGTGGATTATATTAAACTGGAGCTCAGAGAGATAGGATGGGATGGCATGGTTTGGATTGATCTGGCTCAGGATAGGGACTAGTGGAGGGCTATTGTGAGCATGGTAATGAAACTGCTGGTTCCAATAAATGCTGAGAAGTTCATGAGTAGCTGCACAATTGGTGGCTTATCAAGAAGGGCTCAGCATCATGAGTGATATATAAGTCAACAAACCTCTTTCTTTTTATATTCATCTAGTGTTGCCTGTAAAGACTTCTTCTGTTGATCAAGGATGCTAATTCTTCCCTTTTCTTCTTTCAGTTTTAACTGAAGTGTTTCTTTTTCTTCCTTCAGAGCTGATAATTCTGCTTCAAGTGAATAAAGCTTCTTATGTGTGTCTTGCACCTCTCTCTGAGCATCAATTAGCAGTTTCCTTTCCTTAAACAACAAATAAACGAAATAACCAACACACTTTACAGTGCTTGCACAGTTTCGGTAACCTGTATTTACTGTTTCTAAAATGTAATACCCATAAATGGTGTGAGGCAACTGATGAAAGAACATGTAGCAAGTCTCATTTTCTGCCAAAACATGAATATAACTAAGTTCCCATAAGTAGCATTGAAATGTTCTTCATACTGGTTTCTGCAACACTGAAATTATCAGTCTATCCAGGGAACAGGACAGTAAACAACAGTATAACAATGGCAACACCTTCTTTAATGTGGTTTTGATTATACATGATTTATATTCAGGTACCTGTATCATACAACATGGGGTTATGCCACGCCATAGCTCAGGTGGTTAGTCACCAGCTTCTCACTATGGTGACAAAGGTTTAACCTCAGGTTAGGTCATGTACCAATTCTGCCAATTCTCATTTCATCAACTGCTCCATATTCATTAATCACCTTATTATGAATGCTGTGCAGTCCAAACCTTGATAACACCATTAAGTAACCACCAGCACTGCAACCATCATACAACAGCAGCAGTAAAAATAATGGGGACAGTGGCTACAATAATGACATGGGCTCAAGATTTGATTATTCATGGGTCAGCATGTGCATGTGTGCAGATCTAATGCATGGATCTGTATGCAACTGAAGTCATGGCTTGCTCACAAAGATTGCACAGCTACAGTGACAGCATGACTCATGTGCCTTCCAAAAACTCAGAGCAGCTTTCATTTTTTTTACAAAGTACTGTATTGTTTTCTCAGAAATATGAATTAAGAGTGTAATGATGCTGCTGCAAAAGAATTAAAAAAGGACTAAAAAATTATCATGATGATTTATAAACTAGGGTCTTCTGAAAGTGTATCATCTGTTGCATGGCATCTTCACATCAATGAATATCCTGTTAGAACTACTAAATGAAATCAAACAGCCTCTACAGCTAGTGCTGAAGCAAGTACACTGAAGAATGCAAAAGTTACGTATAAAAGCAGTGATCCATGTGTAGAAGAAGCTGAGAACTTTCTTTGTGAATCAAGGGTATGGCACAAAGGAAAAGTTTTTCTATATGTACAACAGGTATAGACAAAGCCATTTCTTACAGCATACGTGTAAACGGTACTTACTCATTCTGAACTAAGAGCTTCTGTATATTATGGGATGTAGACCCATTGCTGAGTAACAGTACAACAGCTGTTGCTAGGGAACAGCCTGCAAAGATATGAGCCCGGAAGCAGAGGAACGTCCACTGTTGGAAGACATTACCAAGCAGAGGAGGGAAGACCGTGGCGGAGAACACTAGTCTTTGTGTCATAGTGATTTGTAAAATGTACTCATGAGTTGTTAAAAGTTAAATAAATCCAATTACTAGAACAAATCCCATCTATAATCACTCCATCATGTGATAACTGGTGACAGAAGTGGGATTGGATTGATTGATCAATTGTTGGACGTAGTGAATTGTTCACCGTCAGATTTGAACCCATGAGACAGGGATTTTGAAAGCCTGGGGCCCATCATGGACAAAATGAAAACTGAAATGAAAGCCAACAAAGAAATGCTGCCCAAGAAAGAAGACAACCAAGTAAGGATGAAAGCCAAGTTGGACTCAAATCAAGAAGAGAAGAAAGAATAGATGACGACTGGCCAAGCAGAATTGAGAGACACAGTAAGAGCCACCTAGGAGGAGATGAAGGCAGAAATTAAGGCCAACAAAGAAGAGATGATAGCCCTGATGGATGTCAGCCTACGAACAACGAAGGCTTGCTGAGAAGCAACAGAGGCCTGGCTAGAAGAGACAGAGGCCAGTTGAGAAAAAATGGAAGCTGAAATTACACCTCATTTTGAAGACAAAAGCACTACAGAGAAGGAGGCCAATCAAGAGAAGACAGAGGCTGCAGTGGAGCATCTGGAAGTCCCTAACAAAGAGGCCACAGTGGAAACTACTGGAGCAGGGAGGACTGATCTATGGACCAGGAACCAGCTGTGGGATACCATAACCAACGTAAAAGGCAGATCAAGGATGATGATGTATGAGGAACTCCTAAAGGACCAAAGTTCAAGAAGAGACGTCAAATACAGGCAAAATGCAACACTGGCATTAGGGAGGCCTAAAACAGCAATGGAAATGTAAACAAGGGCCTGAGATAGATTATAGTGCTGGAGGTTATCAAGCTAACAGCCAGATCTTCTGTCAGGATTTAAAAAATATTGTGGAGAAGCTGGCTACCGCCCAAGCAAAAGATTAGGCCACCCGTAGCTGGAGTGCCAGAGACACAGGAGCGCCAGCCACTCTCGGAAGTTCTCCCTGCACCAACCGGAAAAGGAGAAATAGTGGTGCACTTGCAGGCTACTCAGGATAAGCAGCTGAGTGAGCAATGTGGCAAGAAGACCAATTGCTGGTAAAAGCTGCAAAAACAGGTGACAGTACAACATCCACTGCTGGGGGACAGCCCTGTTGACACACTGTTTCCCCAGCAATGAGAGCACACACAATAATAGTAGAAACATTTTCCATACATGCCATACCAAGGTTATATAACAAGGCTCCGCTGCCATTAGGAGATAGTACTGAGATGGCAGTTAGAGGAATAGGAGGTTGGTGTGAGATGGCCAGCAGCCTGCAGGGACATGAGCCTGGAAGCAGAGGAACGTCCACTGTTGGAAGATGTTACCAAGCACAGCAGTGAACACTGTGATGGAGAACATTAGACATTGTGTGATAGTGTAGCCACGGGTGTTTAAGAGCCCAATAAATCCAATTCCCAAATCAAACCCCATCTATATTCACTCCATCATATGACAGGGGTTGATTCCCCTTAGCCTTATTTACCACAAGATATATATTCATTACTTTTATTTATAATGAATAATAAAAACTTGTTTTTTATTAATGGCGAGATACATGAATACAAAACTAGAGTTCACAAAGATATACATATGCCTGCTGTGAATCTGACAAAATATAAAAAGGGACCCTATATAACAGGTATAACAGTATATGTCTCCCTCAATCAATAAAAATGTTGGTTAATGAGAAGAAAAGTTTTAAATCAGCACTAAAGAGGATTTTGTAACATTATTCCTTTTATTCTATGAATGAATATTATCAATATGGAAATGAATGAATGAAAAAGATATATGTAATTAACATATTTTATGTTTGTATTCGTTAATTGAACTTTTAGTATATCTTAATATTGAAATCTTGTGAAATGTATATGTTATGGTTGTGTTGTGTAAGCTTTTATGGGTTGTAATTTAAGCAATTTTAACTTGAACAATTTCCACTTTTTTGTGGTTTGATTATCACTATGTATAATTTCGTTTTATGACTGCTCTGTATGCGACTGAGTTTTATTTTATGAACTGTTCTTGTGTGTTTTGATTTCATTGTGACTTGTTCAACATCCTAGGCTTCGCCAACAAGGATTTATTGAATTTAAAGAATAAATGAAATGAAATGAAATCAAGCCCTTGCACAACATGGTTCTGATAACCATGACATAATTCAAGAATGTAACCACATGATAAACGAAGAAATAGTGTATTTAGTTAATACTCATACCTTTTCCACTTTTTCTTCTGCTTGCTTCACTTTTTCCAGCAAATCATCTTTCTCTTGAACTATTTGGCACTTAAACTGGATAGCCTTGTCGAGTTTCTGTTTTTCTTCTTGAATCCTGTCATTCATTCCCTTGATGTCGCTATTATGATGTTCTATCAATTCTAGTTTCTCAGTCTCAACAATGTCAAGTTTTTTTTTGTAACCATGGGCAAGATCTAAAGCCTTAGATAGTTCAGACTCAAGTTGTTTCAGCTTCTGGAAAAAATAAAATTACAGAAATTAGAGGCGGTACAACAGAAACATGAAACACTAGTTAGGAAACCACACATTTTGAAACATGATTATATTAATATTTTGATTTATATGGTTTCTTGACATTTGTCAGATCCCAGCATTACAGAAACTACTTCCAGGTATTATTCGTGATGGCATGACATTCAGATTTCAGTGAAGCTAGCTTCTGTGTCTGATACTTCAGGAATCCCGGTACTTCGACTTCTGCCATCACTGTGTATACTCAGGTTCACCAATTGTTTTGATGTTTTGCACAGTGCTGTACACACCTGCGCCTGGGCAGCGAACTTCACTGACACCATCTCTGCCAAATGGGAGTTGGCCAAGAACACATTACATAAAGTGAAGTCCGTAAAAACCACTCTATCCAGCATACGTTTCATTCAAATCACTAAATCCAATCAAGATCTGGTGTAAGGGTTACTGCTATCTCCTGGTCAACCCACTCTCCATTCCTCATCCAGCCACTCCCTCTTCAGGCTCACTCTGACTTGTTAACGACTTGCTTTGCTGGTCCTTGTTACACAGCCTCAGGTCGGACTGCACAAAATACACCGTCTCCAACAGTTCTTCTTCTGTTGCGAGTTTATTCGTTGCCTAGCAATGGATGATGTCTCTTGTTCAGCTATTAAGTTATGTAATAATTCCCAACATCTAGCAACCTTAATACAATAAATATACAAAGGATGTCACTTGAAATGATCATCAAACTAAAAGCTTCACCTGTGCCATTTCAGATTCTTTTCTCTGATGTTCTTCTCTTTCATTCTGTAGTCTGCTGGCTAAATTATGTCGCTGCTCCTCCAGCTCTATCCAGTGATGAACAAGACGTTTCCATGCATGCTGTAACTGCAAAATTGCTTGATCCTTGCCTCTGTCCACCTGTACTGCTACAGCAAGCTTTTGCTGTTCTTCCAGAAGACGAGCCTGCAATTGCTGTATCAGTCTTTCACAGAGCTGAAACACATTTAAAAACTTTTTATGTACATATATGAAAAATTCACTTATGCTGTTTTCTTATAAATCTAGCTATCAGAGAAAATAAAATTTAAAAGAATCCAGATGTCAGCCAAAAATTTAAGATTCTCTTTAAATTTGCACTTTTATTCAACATTAATTATAACGTACAGCACAATTTATTGTTCAGGTGCAAATAACAAAGTTTAAAAGACACACCTGAAGGAAGACTTTAAAACTTGCACTTTTATTACATGAACTCTACAATTCACATGATTACAGGTGCCAGATTATACTGATTAAATTATAATGAAACTGAAAGGAAAAATGCCACCCAACTATAATAAAATGTTGAAGATGGTCCACAAGAAGTAAATGAGGATGCAGGTTTTTGTATGGGTTAAGTGATATAAAGGTAAAGCAAAAGGTAAAGTTGTCCTGGTGCTTAACTAATTAGGCACTACACCATGAAAACATATGGGGGAGTGGATGTATAGATCCAAATTTTCTTGATCTCTGCACTAGCTGGAGGTGAGTGGTCAGCTTTTGCCGCAGCTGCTTTACCTCCAGGGAAAGGGCCACCAGTACCTTTTGGATACGGGGCTGGGTGGGCCCCAGAATTGGTCTGGACAATGTGAGGAAGAGAAAATTCTTGACCCTACTAGGACTTAAATTCTAACTCCTCAGTTGTCCAGCCTATAGCCAGTTGCTAAACCAACTGTGCTATCCCAGCACCAAGTGATGTAAAGACAGAGGCAAAAACATTACAGAGGATAAAAGATTGAGACATTCCACAAATAAGAACTGATTAAATATTGGAGAAGTCACTGAAATAGTGAGAAATGATCATCAACCACCACCTGAAGGACAAGAGAGATGAATATGAAAATAGAAACAAGACCAATTTTTTATATTAAAAAAAGACAAAGTAACTCTGGGCCAAAATGCAGTATATAAGGAAGCAGCAAGAAAAATATGAAACCTCTCGGCAAAGTTGTTGGAAGGAATTGATCTTTTTGGAAAAAATGACTGGCAATGAGACTTGGGACTTCCAGTATAGCACAGAAACAAAACTTGCGAAGTATTTTCCTATGCAGACAATCAAGCATTCTACACTTCCCACCTTCAACTACTGGGACCTAGCAGCAGTCCAGTCATTGAAAAAACCAGATCTTTAAACAAATTACTTCACATCATGACAAAGCCTTCCCCAGATAGTATTTCTGATAAAGTGATTTTTGGCCTAAAACCAAATACCAGTGTTGTAACATCCACTGTATGCATGCATTGTATTTGTGTGACTTGTTCATATTCCCCTTAGTAAAGCTATACTTCAAAGGGTCTCATTTTGAGTTACTTAAAGGCAGTCAGAGTAATCTGACAACAGCACCGAAAGGACTTTCAGAAAATTATTTCCAGTAATGTTTTCAATCATGGCAAAGACAATGGAGTGTCTAAATATATGTGTATAAAGTCTGGCAATGTGTAAATGTAGTAACAATATATACAAAAAGAGTCAGTCCAGTTGATTAACTGTCAAACTTCATTCTCTTCTGATATATCTAAACTGACAAAAAAACACAGATGCTGCAGGTGAAAGTGAAATTCAGCTTCATTTGTTTTTGTAAAAAATCCAAGTTATTCAAAATGAGATTTTACCTTCAAAAGTAAAAGACTCAAGAGTTCTGTCCATACCTGTCTCCTGTATTTCTCCTCTTCCAATCTCAGCCCAATGTTAGTATGTTCATTCCCAATGTGGGAGGCAAATGATGATCCATCTTTACCCCATAGTTCTGACAAACTTAAAAGATTGGATGTACCAGAACTACAACAATCACATAAATATGTGATTACCCTGATATATATATATACATATATATATAAGGCACGATTTAAAATAGCACTGAAACGATACTTAAATACACATTCATTCTACTCTGTTGATGAATACCTATTGTCTAGAAAATAACTTAAAAATTTATGTATCTTTAAATAGCCCTGTTTGTAGTCACTGTGTATTCTTGGTTTCTTCTGTGTGAGAACTCCATTGGGTCTGTACATATGTTTTGCATTTATATGACATATTCAACATCCTACAGTCATTTTGACTAACTTTGGATCCATGGAGTGCAATGCAATGTTATGTTATGTTATATCAGTGCAATCTGCATAATACCTCTAGTAAAAGTTATACACAAAGTGGCTCACTGTAAACACCACACATGGCCTTCTTATCGGTACTGTGACTGGATAAATATAGAATGGGTGATCACACAGGAAGGAATGTCCTACAGCAATGATAATGAATCACCATCTGTATTTAAAATACTGTCTATACAAAAGTGTATTTTCTGAGATTGAAACAGGTGTCCCACAATATATAAACATTTCTTTTAGGACATGAATGCCAGCATGGTTCTGTAGAGCTAACTAATGGTTAAGGAACAAGGATAACTCAGTCAGTTTAGCGAGTGGCCACAGTGCCAGACAGCTAGGATGCTGGTCTCAGCAGCAAGACCGATTTCTCTCATAAACCATATCCAGATCAGCTCTGTGGACCAAACCATACTACTATTCAATAGGTACTGGATAAAAGAACCCAACCTATTCTGTGACAAAGCTGAAATCTTATTGTTATTTCTGGAACAAAATCCAGTTCTTATATCTATAAGACAAAAAAATTAGAATAATTTGCTTTTATGATTTTCAATGAAGCTATAAACTTATGCAACCAAAGTGTAATTACACAAACAATCAAACTTCTGCTACAAGTTTTCTGAGAAATAAAAACCACACATATTCATATGCAATGAACAGGATGACCACTGTCTTGGACATAATATTTGTTCATGAAATAAAGTTTGTTGACCATTCACTGAGTTCTTCTGTAATATATGCTGCTAAAAATAAGGGAAACACTTTCTCTTGGCAATTATTTGTTTGAAGAAATAATCTGAAAAATTGTTCACAAAGATACAACAGTTTCTACTGCTCTGGGTGACACAATTTTTATCAGAAATACATCAGATTTCATGTTATGTTTCTGTATTTTCACTAGACTGTGTTTTTCTCCTGTGTGATTACCCTCCTGGTAGATAATATTTACATAACTGTATTACTGACAAGAAGGCTGCGGCCTTTCAATGAACAAATATGTATAGGTTGCAAGCAAATACACATTATTGTTTCAGGATGAGACTGAAATTATTGTCACACATAAAACTGAGGCAATTTCATCTGCTTATTATCAAATTTTTATAACATACAGCATCATTCTGAAACTGTCAGTACTGTTGTACCATGAATGAAGATCAATAAAATATACTATAATTATGACCACAAATGCTGAAATGAGGAACACATGCTGGTACAATCATAAGTGGACTGAATCCAAAACCTACTGAACAGTGGTAAGTAATAATGAAGTTATATGGTAATGGTAATGTTCTGTCCAGTACTGTCACACATAGGTACATGTGAGTTCCCTCATTAATCAAAACGATGGCACTTCATCTGATGTTTGAGTCATGCAAGAGGGAATTCCCTCATTAATCGAAATGGTGGGACTTTATTTGACATTTGGGCAATATAAGCACATTCTCAAGTGCTACTGGAAAACTGTGAGTATGAAAGACATAAAAACACACTGGAGAAATTAATTTGAAACGAAACCATAACAAACATTTAATGATTCAAGATAACACAATAAGTATGAAATCAGATGGAAGGAACAGTGTAAGGTATTCATAGAAAATCTACAAGATCTGCAAGATCCCCTAGAAAGTCTCTAAGGAGACAGGTGTGGAAGACTGATGTTTACTATATTGTGCACAGTGTAAACTCAAAATCACACCATGAGGCTGCTGAACATTAAAAATCAGTCTGCTCATGAGCTCTGAAATGTGAAAAGGTCTTGAAGACCGAAATTTGGTTTTTGGGTAGGATGTACCAACACAAAGACACTATAACAAATATATCAAATGACAATATATACATTAAATATTAAATGTGAATACAATGTAAGTCCCTGGAGGTAATAGGCCTCCGCCAATCAAACAATCAAAATCGTACAGACCAGGAGAAGGGTGAATCGACCGAACAGTTCAAGCTCCCACAACAGAATGGATCACTCGTGTTGGACCTCAGTGTTCTGGAACCAGGAAGTGGAACAGTGGAAGGGGGAAGGTAGTAAAGGGGGGGGGACACCCTCTGACGTAATGCAGACACAGCATTACAGCTTGGATTTTGTGAGTGGTTGCAAAGTCTCCCAGACACTCTCTGTGACGGTGTTCTCAGGATGCTGATGTGTACAAAGCCAAAGTTCATTACATCGTACATACTGTGAAGTGGTAACCACACTTATCAAGACTCAGACATAATAAAAATAATTATACAGATCACTAGCTTGAGCTTTATCAGTTGCTTTTACACTATGTCTAATATGGAGACACCTTATCTGAAGTGCATACAACAGTAGTGAGCCTCCTAGCAGCAACACCATCAGTCGACGTAAGGAAGATGAGCTGGCTCAGTCACCTGGCTACCGACACAAGGAAGACCAGCCGGCTCAGTCACCCAGCCACTGACACAGAGTAGACCGGCTGGCTCGCAGTCACCCGGCAGCTGGCGTAAGGATGAGCAGCTGGCTCAAAGTGAGCTACTGACATGAGGAAGACTGATGAGCCAGCCCACTGAGGCCAGAGTTTCACCAGCATTCATCGGGTGCGCCCTGTCTTAGAGTTAAAACCCTCTTCAAGGCCCACAACACCTTATCGGTTATTGCACACTTTGACTGCCTGCCTGCCTGTCTGTATATTCTTCTAACAGCAACAAATATTTGTTACAGAAATTTGCATGGCTGTCTCTCTGTGCTATCACAACCAAAATTCCACAACAGTTAATTGGTATGTTGAAAGTGAGTAAGAAGTTTGCAATAGAGAGAGAGAGAGAGCACATGCATATATGTGTGTGTGTACATAAAATAGAATACCTTTATGCTTGTTTTGGTATTTAAGAGGCAAAAGGACAATTATTTTAGACCCTATTAAATTTCTACAGAATTCCTAAAGAAATTCAGGACTAGCAAAATGTAACAGATGAACAACATACCAGGTACATGTCGCATATGCTAGAAGAAAAAATGCATGACTTTAATATATAAGTTTCTATTGCTACATCTACTAACTAAAGACCTAAGTATGTTCAAACTATACGTAAGCAGAAACAATACTTACCTCACAGAAGCTGTCATGCCATTGACACCACTGTCAATAAAGGTATTCCCTGCGTCTGTTTTGTTTCTTAAACCTGCTTACACACAGAAAGATTACAATTTTAGTAACAAACTGCTAACAATATTTTCACGAAGATAATTATTCAACTAGGGAAAAAATAAGAAAATGATACTTCTAATTAACTCCAATGCTTTCTAGACTACTGAAACTTTCTGTTAAGTAGGTCCACTTGAATTAAACTAATTACAGAGACAAAAAAAGTGGGTCTATTACTGAGATCTCCAAGTTGTTGGCTATGGTTCAGAATGCACTGAACTGTACTGTGCTGGGAATCACGGTGTAATGCTGCTTGCAAGTGAACCCACCACCTGGTGAAATAAACTAATGTATGCAGATTTATTTAACTAGTGATAAAAAATACATGCTACAAACTTATGCGTACATTTTACATTGGCGAAGAATTTGCCAGCAGATATTAACATTTCATTTAGCAGATACCCTAATATTTACATAAATTTCTACCGATTATATCACACCCAGATTTTGTATGTATGACATATTTTGGTGAGGCAACACAGAGAAGCCAATAAAAATTTCTGACTCACTTAAGTAATTACACTACATGAAGCTGCTGAAAATACTGTAGGTTTAAGCTGACAGAAAAAATATCCTGTTACTCAGACACAACTGAGATATATATACAATAATGAGGTTAATATGGATAAATATTCTAACAAATGACAAGTCATTGTATTTAATTTTGGCTGCTTGTAATTATAAGTTTACAAATAAAAAAATAAATACATAGATAAGTACTTATGCACAATAACGTTTTGGATATTGTGAATGGTGTGTTATTGTTAAATAATATTTTAGCCAAAGCAATTTTTCTACTTTGAGATCTCTCAAGCCTATGTTAGAGGGCTCTCAATAGAATATTTCCGTCATTAGACTGACAGCAAGCTTCAAGATAATGGGACAACACAGTATATACATATTATAGGATTCTGCACATCAGCCTGTATTTTAGGATACCTCCTGAAGTACACACCAAGTACATAAAAATCTATCTTCTATAACTGCCCCATTTTCATATACTATTTTAGTGCTGACATACTTATGTGTCACAGACAATTAAAGTTACACAATACTCATTTGAAATGAAGGCAGGAAAAGAAAGAAACAGCATCCAATTTGTATGAAGGTTACATTATCAGAAGGAAGTCTTCCCTGCACAAAGTTCATTGAACGACTGCACTGTTCCATGATGCACGAGCGCACGCACACACATACACACATAAAAACACTCCACCAACAGCTACTGTAGAAAAAACAGATTTCAACTAAGAACTATAAGTTTTGACAACACTTTTTTAGTTTAAAATGAAGCCTTAATAAACAAAACAAACTCCATGGTTTTAGTCCACAAGCGAACTATACCGACCAGGCAATCGTTGCTTGTTGGCGAAGTTAGTGCCAACCAAATGAAGCCTCTGTGTTGCATGATAACTCAACTATTCATAAGCTTCTTCAACGGTGTAATTTGACTTGATGTAATGTAAATCTGTGCTGTTAATTACCACTGTCAACAAGAAAATTTCATTTGCAATAAATGGACATCAAGATCAATACAGGATGTAAACTTGCAGACACTGCATTTGGAAAATACGTGTACTCCAACAGAAGTCCACGTTTTTTACCCTATATTAACTGCTTCATCTACTAAATAATGGACTTAAAAGAGATATAACTCTACACTCAAATGTACATACATACAAATTACCTTCCGATCCTTGTTCCTGCTGCATAATGGCGACATCCCTCTGATGACTTCCAACATTGAAATCTACTTTCTTCTTTGCTGTTGTGTCTGTTACAGTAGATCCTGTGCCTCCCGCAGCCACTGAATTTCTCTGACCTTGAACGACGACGTTGCTTCCCTCATACCACAAACGTTGATCACCAGTCTCATTGGCAGTCACATGTGGTTTTGATAACAAAGAGTATTCAACAGCAGTGATATCATCATTTGCATGAATATGACGGATTTGGGACTGGGCTGATGTATTATGTTTGGGACTGAAGGTTGTCACATTTTTTCCCAATCCCTGTGACAAAGCATCATTGGTCCACAGCTTTTGTAAACCAAACCCTAAATCTGGTACAGATGGTAAATAATAACCTTGTACATCATTACCTTTATCAGTGGAAGATGAGGTTATTCTTGCACCACTTGGATGTGAAGGAATTACACTATCATGAACATAATGTGGAACATTGTGAGAAGAATGTAAAGGAGATTCAGAATATCCATCTTTATTCTTTGCAGCATACCAACTTTTCAAACCAAAATTGCAGTCTGGGATGGTAGAAGCATCATTGCTTAATTCCAGTTTACGTCTTGCAACAGCTACTTTTTTCATGTCTTCCCGTTCATCTAAAGAATTGGAAACTATATGTGGAGCACCTTCAGTTTTTTTGACAGTTTCCACATTAGACATGTGAATGTTTTGCTCGTCTGTGAGTGGTTCAATACTGCTATGCACTTGAGAACCCTGTGTTTTATCAGCAGTTACTTCAGTCCCAAGGAGACTAATATTTCTCCTTGGAACAAGTTCTTCTTGTACAGGAACTTTTGCTCCATTCGTTGAAGTTACTGCATTATAAGATGGAACAGGTCTTGGTGAATTCAAGACATCCCTTACTCCAAACCCGCTGTCAGGCACTGAACTAATGGTATCTCCACCAAAAGACATATTCTGTGGAGGTGGAACACAATCCTTTTCTGAAAGAGTGCTATGTTTTTCAATTGAAGATTCCCTAAGCTGAAGTTTCTTCTCTATTTCATGTTCTGTAGCCTCCATTTGTTTCAGAAGTTTCCCAATATCTGATAATTCCAAACCTCCCATTTCTATATCCAACTGGTGAGCTTCCAAAGGCAATACAGTTTTTCGTTTTACTTCCTCTTCCCTAACAGGCAGGCTGTTAAATGATCTGAGTCCAAAGCCTAGATCTGGCACAGAGGTAACAGTATCACCACAAGTGTACCCCTTCTTTTGCTGGTACAGTTGCTCATGTGCTGGTTTAGGATTAGGGTGTTTTGTATCCTTCACACCATTTTTAGCCTCTTTGAGAACTTCATCATCTGCCTGTTTGACAGATGCTGTTCCTTCATTTTCCAATGGAGCAATGTACTTTGATTTTATAAGTTCTTCTCTTACAGGCAAGTTATTAAAATCAGCAAGCCCAAAACCTTGGTCTGGAATAGAAGCTGAATTCTCTCCACATTTATAAATATTTTCCTTTTTGTTACAGTCACTCACACTAATCTCAGCTGGAACTTTGGAGGATTTCTTTATGCTGTCCAAAAATTGGTCAATCTCTCCAATTAATGTGTAGTCCTGACGTAACTTATTTTGTTTGCTATTATTACTGGGGCCCTGCATTACACCAATGACAGTGGCTCTACTTGATGGGACAATACTGCCCACCACTGAATGAGACATATTGATTATTTCATTTGGAGTAACAGGTTCAATTATTATTGCACTTTTCTCAGGAGATGTGCTACCTCTATCTTGAGTTGAGTTTGAAGGGAAATGAGATTCATTTGAGTCAATACTAGGTGTCGATGGAAGAGAAAAGGCCTGCTTTTGTTTCACAGGAGTGCTGTGCAAACTATTGATACCACAGTTTACTGCCCGAGGTACCCTCAGATTATCGTAACTTCCACCAAATCTGTGTTGAGTTGACGACATTGATTGAGACATTAATGTTAGATCCTTGTGCCTTAAATAGTGGTATGCATTCAAATTTTGATATGTTGCACAATCAAATACCTGATCCAGGCAACTTGTTTCCCATGCACTTTCTGGCAAGTCTACACTACTCTTGTTTTCTATTATACTGATACGAGTCTCTAACTCATTTACCTGAGAAATAAGGTCATTAACAACTAGTTTCTCAAATTCATGGCTTTCATTGTATCCCTTCCAAACTTCTGGACCAATGGAGTCCTCTGAATCAGAAGTATAAACTAAGAAAAAGTCTGGTGGAATTAGAAGTAACACATCTGTGTCATCTGAATCACTCATAACTTTAACCTCATCTCAAGTTTCTTCTCTGCTACATGCTTATTATTTTAAATGGAAGTGGGAATAATATAACATTTCGTACAATCCCAATTCTGAAGCCATATTATCAGATCCTTATTCTTCACATTTTTTAAGTCACAAATACAGAATGAAAGACATTTCCACAGAACAGTGTCATGTCACTGCTAAAGACACTTTCCAAACCAAAATGTTTAAGAAGGGTAGAGGTGTTAATGAAATACTCTTTTTAAACTGTGCTTTACTCCCATCAGCTTCCACCACCTGCAAACAAATCACACAAAAAATAAAATTCAACACAGGTGAAATAAAGCTACTTTACATCTTCAAGCAGATCCAAAAACAGATATTTCTAAAAATATTCCTCAAAATACATAAGAAAAAAAATTCTGAGAAGTTAATGTTATTATAAAAGTTACATTTTTTTCATAGCGTTCTGTTATCACTGCATTTGGATTTCTATAAATCAAATATTATTAAAAAGAGTATGGTCTTCTGCACTGTAACGCCATGCCATACAGTTTTGAGAAAGCTCATATGAAGCAGGCGCACTTCTGCTGATTTATTGGTTGGCTTACTCTTTGACCTTGAAAATGGAGGCAGTATATTCCTCCAGAACATCAGGCTTTCTCGGGTCTAAATGGTGTTACAATGAGTAGGCCATAACCTTCTTGGTCACCACTGCAAAAGCCTCAAATTTAAAATGTTACCAACTTTACAAAACAAATTTGACTATTCAGGTACACATAATGAACTTTGCAAATGATATTAGCTTGACAGCAGCACTGAATAAGTCTGTAAATCTACATATTAATAAATTATAAGTAAAATAATAATATAATAAGTGTGTCATCTGGATTTGTACTGTGTGAACCATGAAGGAAACTATAACAAACAATAAAGTTGTAATAACAGCACAATATCCAGAACTGATACCCACTAGCTTCTTAAGCTACTGCCAATGACAGAAGGAAATACTTAGGCTACAGAGCAACAGTGGTGAGATGAACTTGAAGTGGGTTCTGTGCATTAGTGGCAAGTATTTTCCTAAAAGAAAAATACTGGATCCTTCATGTTTGCTTCCTTGTTTCTTTGTATCTGTTCATCTACAAATAGTATGTCAGTGTTAAATACAGTGCTGCCACAATTTAGTGTTCTGTGGATTGTTTCAACATGTTAGATGTTAATAACAGGTTCTATCAGTAGCAGCAATGAAACTAAAAGGGCAGCATGTTACTGTTGGGTGTTGCAATACTCGTACATCATGAACGCTAACAGAGAAATCGAAAGCACATAAATGAAGAATTAAGAGGATCTTAGCAGACTAGCACAGTGACTGGTGATTTCAACTGGCATGCATTAATATACACTACAGATGATTTCTATGTAAGACATCAGCTAGTTAAAACAAGTAACAAACTCTTTCCTGTGTTAAAGGAGAAAATTAATTTCCAATGGTATGATTTAACCCTAAGACATATATTAAAATGGACAGGATTTAAATTGCCAAAGTGGACTCCAAGAGGACCTTGTTTATTGAGAGGCCAGACACTCTGAATTGGCATTATAATTACTTGCAACAAATGAAGAAATATATAGAATGGGGGGGGGGAGTTACGTGTGTCTGTGTGTATACACTGTGACATGTCCCCTCAAAGCCAGGACTGTGAAGCCAGAAGAGACGGCCGTTGCTAATGGTCCATAAACATGTTTCCTCGGCAACAAATATACAGACGCAACAGAAGAACAGCTGTGAGTGGTGTTTTCTATGAGATCCATGCCAAGGTCATATAAGGAGGCCAGACGGACAGTGTGGAGGCGGGGTTGAATACCTCCACCGTGACCCTGTGAGTCGTAGGAGGTGACGAAAAGGGAAGTTTAAAATCTGAGACAGTAAAATATGGTCTCGGGTCCCAAGGGACTCAGACCCAAGAAAGACTGCTAAACTGGCAAGGGCCAGCAGCATATACAAAAGGCAGACCCATTGTCTCATCAGAGAGGGCACCCCACAAAAACAAAACCGTAAATGCCAAACAGTAATAAATATCTGGTCATGAGCCCATGATGGGGCTTGACATAAAGACTTACTGACTGACTGTCAGTCGCAATGTGACTTGGAGGGACTTTGAACCAAAAATGACTGTGTTGGCGAGGACCAGCAGCGAATGGTGGTTTATTGGTCGGTCAGTTGGTCATGTTTTTACGACTGATGTCAAAACTTACATTTTAAGACAAGTAAATTTATTCTATGTTATTTATACAATCTAAGTTAAAAAAGAAAGTTGTGTTGCCTAAAAAGACACATGAAGTTCATTTTATAACTTCCCTGAACAGCATCACTTCTATAATTAGGACTTTCACTAATATGGACAAGTCTGAATTAGTGAGATCTTACTGTATGTATATTCATTTATTTTACCTTAAAGTTGAGGTGGTAAATCCTATTTCTGCAAAGCTAGTTTTATCACATTATGGTACATTCTTTGAGCAACTATAAACTCTACAGTTGTGAAATTTGACATACAAGTATGTAGGTAAATCAATAAGTTACAAATGGATACAGAACTTAAACAAATAAGAATACCGATTTGAAAAATGCTTTTATTTCTCAACATAATCTCCCTGTACATTGAGGCACTTGTCCCATCGTTTCACAAGCCCCTGAAAACCAGCAGCATAAAATTCTTTGGGCTGTTGTCAGAACCAGGCAGTAACTTCTCCTTCTACAGCTTCATCAGGAAAATGTTCAGCCAAAAGATGATGTTTAAGAGGGTGGAACAAATGGAAGTCGCTTGGAGCAAGGTCAGGGCTATACGGAGGATGCTTGAGGACTTCCCACTTGAAATTTCACAGCGTCTCATTTGTCTTGTTGGCAGTATGGGGACGCGCGTTGTCATGCAAGAGCAACATGCCTTTGGTGAGGAGTCCTGGTCGCTTCCATTGAATGGCCTTACAAAGTTTCCTGAGGATGTTACAGTAGGAGTCGGCATTTACGGTTTGTCCTTGAGGCTGGAATGCAGTGAGCAGCATGCCTTCGTGATCCCAGTCACCGCCTGGTTCCAACAACAGCCCAAAGAATTTTATGCTGCTGGTTTTCAGGGGCTTGTGAAACAATGGGACAAGTGCCTCAATGTACAGGGAGATTATGTTGAGAAATAAAGGCATTTTTCAAATCAGGACTCTTATTTGTTTAAATTCTATATCCATTTGTAACTTATTTATTGTTACTTACCCTCATATTTATGGACTTGTAGTCTCTATCAGCTCTTTCTCACAGTAATACATTTGGAAACAAATTGTTTATAATTTTTCTTCTAAAAGACTAATTTTTCAACAGAAAGTAAATATCTTCACAAATGGTATAATTATTCATTTAAGTTTGATCCACCTATAATACACAGTTTCTCTGAAACCTATATGTATATAAACACATACTGGGAAAATGGATAAAGGTAAAAAAGGTAAAACTGTCCCTATGTTTGACTATTACGCACTATGCCATGAAGGCATATGGGGGAGTGGATGCATAGATCCACTTTTTCTTGATCTCAGCACTAGCTGGAGGTGAGCGGTTAGTTTAATGGCCCTACCTCTTTAGCCCCAGGAAAGGAGCCCCCAGTACTCATTGGATATGAGGTTGGGTGAACCCCAGAACTGGTCTAAAAGACTTGGAGAAAAGAAAATTCTTGACCCTACCAGGACTCAAACTCTGACCCCTCAGTCCAGCTCATAGCCAGTCACTATACTGACTAAACTATTCCAGTTCCTTGGGAATATGGGTGAAAAAAAAAATGGTACCTTATTAAAAAGAAAAACAAATAAAGGAAAACCCACTCCAGTTACTAGTGCTGCCACTGCAGGAATTTCTCTACCTGGTGGAGATATTCCCTTGAGAACCTGGAATTATAAAATACCCAATATTCGTTACCGCAAGATGTCACTTCAGATTTAATTCGATCAGGGTTTAATACCATTATATGAGATTTAAGTAGAAATGATGATGATGTTATCAAGAATCAGACTTGACTACCAAAATTAACAAAAAACACAAAACTGGTATTTTTTTAATCAAACCACTTAATATCAAGACAATACTCGCAGGCCAATAATATTTTCATGAGATGTTGACAACAGTAAGTGCTTCAAACTGCCCAATTATTCTCCATACCAGTTTTCATAAGTAGGCTCAAGATTTGAAGTGGATAGTATCAGGCAGAAAGGCGGAGTGGTAATGACGCCATCCTTGGTGAGTTTAGCCGAGCCACGGCTGTCTCTTTGGTGGGGATGTATCATAGACCAGGGATGCACTGGGACACACCTTTGGAACACCTCCTCGTGGTCCTACCAGACAACAACAGTCTTGGGAGTCTGGATCAGTATGACCTTCCAGGGCTGGCAGTTGAGTTTCCATAAAGGGCGATGGCTATATGACCGGAGCCTCCCATGCGGTGGCATAATGACTCTTGGGTGTCACTACGGTGTACCCGGGACAAATGTGGGAGAGCACTCCTATGGGGGTAGCTATGGCTATTTGAGTTGTCTCCCTAGAGTACCGATAAGGTGCTGCAAGCCTTAGGGCTCAACACTCTAAAATGGTTTGACCAACCAATGTGGAGGGGTGGGAATGGGGGAGCTCAGAAGCAACCCCCAGGGGCGATATCGTGTAGGATGCCGGATGCCCTGGTCACAACCTCATGACTAACTGGTATCGCACTCCCATTTATCATCTGGGATACCCCTCTCCCTCTGAACACGCACTCTTGGGCCTGGAGGCTTGTGAGGGTTGCATTTACTACAGGACCAAACCACCTAAGCCAAGGTGTGAGGCATCATGCTGAGGGCTACATGACACTGGGGTGGTAATTAGCCAGTGTCTTGAATGATCCCCTCGGGGCACCAGGCAGCACCCCGTTGTATTTATGCCTTCCACTTGTATGGGGCGCTGTGGGTGGTGACCTTTTAAATCCCTGTAACTCGTGGGATCAAAATGAATAAAGGAACCAAATTAAAAACCAGTCGTAAAGACCTTAAACTGAAGAGGGACCCCCCTCCAAGGGGATCCCTACGAGAAATGCTTCAGCAGGGGTTGGAAGCTCTGGTGAACCATTAAGGGGCCCAGTTGCAACCAGCGAACCTGCTGTTGAAATTTCAGCCAAAGGCAAGGATGAACCAGTGGTTCAAAACCTGCCAGATGTAAAACCAAAAACTACTCTCCTGGGGGTCAGTAGTACTGACACACCAATGCAGGGAGCTAGTACTTCTAACACACCTGCAGCAGGAGAAGGACTGGGGATACCTAGTCTCTGGAGTAGGTTGACCCCATCTGGTGAAGAAAGCCTTGTCTGGATGCGCTAGACAGAAGATGAAAAAGGCAAGAGCTGAGGCAAGCAAAGCAGGAACTGGGAGCAGTCAGCAACCAGGAAATGCAGACTCGTCCTAGCAGGAAGAAACCCCCACTGGCACCTATCAGAGGCCAAGGTCTGAGGGCAGTACCCCTATAAAAATGGCCAGAACTCCAAAAAGGCCCAGGGACTTACAAGGAGGCTCTATCCAATATAAAGGTAGCTATCTTCAAGAACACTTATCCTGAGGATAAGCCTACCGAAGATGACCAACATTCCATTCTGGAAGCATTGGGGGAGGTCTTACATAGGACTCCAAAGGGAGAACTACCACACCTGAAATCATACAGACTAGTGGGAGGTGCACTTATTTATGTATGTGCTGACCAACAGTCTGGTCAATGGCTCACCAAAACCACTGACAACCACAGGCTGGAATCAGGGGCCAGGCTGAAGGCTACTGATGCCAGGAACCTGCCTAAGCCTGTTAAAGTGGTTCTCTGGACTAGGGACAAATTTGCCCAGAATCAGGAAGAGCTGCTGAAATGGACTGCAGACCTTAATCCAGGACTTCATACTGAGAACTTGAGGGTTAGTTAGTTAGTTATTGGAGAGGGTGGGTTTCCCCATGCACTTAGACCAGCATTGGTCCATTGTGCTTCCCTCTATGATATTCTACCAGTCTCTATACCCTGCCGATATTGGTGCGTACCATCAGTTCCGCCGAGCAAGCGAGTTCAGCCTCCACTTGCTTGGTGGTGTCTATAATGCTTCCCCCATCTATCAGAGGCGTTAGGGACTACTGTTGGGCGGGAAACATCCTTGAATTTGGCTCAGTGATCTCCTTTGGAGATATGAGGTTCTTTGACGTGCCGTAAAGCTACGACACGGGACACACGGCTTAAAGTCCCTTCAAAGGGAGTGACAAGAATATCTATGAAACGGTTACGTATTCTCAATGATGTTGAAAGGTTGCTCCTCATATGGATAAACGAAAAGCAATTGCAAGGCGCCACTATTGAGAACATCATTTGTGAGAAGGCGAAAGTGATTTTCGCCGACCTCGTTAAGAAAACGCCAGGATCATCAACAGCTGAAGAAGAAGCATTTAAGGGGAACCCGTGGGTGGTTTGAGAAGTTTAAGAGAAGAACCGGCATCCACAGCGTTGTAAGGCACGGTGTAGCAGCAAGCTCTGACACAAAGGCAGCAGAGAATTTCATCGGTGACTTCAAGAAGCTAATAGACTCTGAGGGTTACCTGCTGCAACAGGTTTTTAATTGTAACGAGACGGGTCTCTTCTGGAAAAAGATGCCAAAGTGAACCTATATAACAGCAGAGGATAATGCACTGCCCGGCCATAAGCCAATGAAAGACCATCTCACGCTGCTATTTTGTGCCAATGCAAGAGGCAATTTGAAAATTAAACTGCTGCTTATTTACCATTCAGAAACTCCACAAGCCTTCAAGAAGTGTGAAGTCCAGAAGAGCAGGCTAAATGTGATGTGGAGGTCCAACAACAAGGCTTGGATGACACGTGACCTTTTTACTGATCGGATCAATGAAGTGTTTGGTCCATCTGTGAAAAAATATTTGCTTGAGATGAATCTGCCATTCCATGTCTTGCTTGTTATGGACAACGCTCCGGCCCATTCTCCAGACCTACAAGATGACCTCCTTGAAGAATTTAAATTAATCAAGATCCAGTTTCTGCCTCCCAACACCACTCCGTTACTCCAGCCTATGGACCAGCAGGTTATTTCTAACTTTAAGAAGCTGTACACTAAAGCACTCTTCGAGCGTTGTTTTAAGGTGACTGAAGAGACCAATCTCACTCTCAGAGAGTTTTGGAAATATCACTTCCACATCCTTGCCTGCCTCAAGATGATCGAAAAGGCGTGGGTACGGGTTACCAAGAGAACCCTCACTTCTGCTTGGAAGAAGCTTTGGCCGGAGAGCATTGTCGAATGTGACTTTGAGGGGTCTGAGATAGTACCTGTGGAGCCTGTAGTCAACGAGATTGTGTCTTTAGCCAAGATCATGGGGCTGGAGGTGGAGCCTAGCAACGCTGTTGGGAGTTGTTTACGGCTATGTAGCAACTGTGGCGTCCCGTGTTACGTCACCACGGGGAGGGACGGGGTGTTGACTGGCTTTGCTTAGCAACCGCCGTTTACTCGCTTTGCATAGCGACCAGCGTGCTTGGACTCAGCTCACTTCAACTCCACTCGGCATGTCACGGCTGGCAGGGAGGGAGGGGCATCATCCATAGCGCAACATGTCACAATATCGATGAGCTTGTGGAAGAGCACAGCCAAGAGCTGACCACCGAAGAGCTTATGGAGTTGCAATGTGTTTCACAGCAAGAAGTTATGGAGGAGAGTTTGTCAGAGGAGGAGGATGAGGTAACAGCAAAGCAACAATCTTCTGGCGCAATAAGAGAAATGCTTAAAGCATGGGAAACTGTTGCATCGTACATTGAGAAGCATTACCCTAATAAGGCAGTGGCTATGCGTGCTACAAATTTATTTAATGATAATGCTGTGTTGCATTTTCACCAAATTTTGAAGCGTCGGCAAAAACAAATGTCTCTAGACAGCTTTCTAGTAAAAAAGAATTAGATATGTATCATAAATAATAAACTAGTTATTTCAATTTTTTTTTTCTTTGTTTTCTGCAAATCCAATTCACATTCCAGGTTGGTTCATTCCGCACAGAAGAAAAGATGAAGATGATTTATGCTCCTTAACAATGTATATACAATTTTCTTTGAATAAACGTTATACATAAAATTTTTGGAGTGTTTTTTTGGCATGGAATGCATTATCGTATTTTACATTAATTTATATGGGAAAAACTGTTTCGCTTAACGAGTGTTTTGCATTATGAGTAAGATTCTCGAACAAATTATGCTCATTAAGCGAGGTTCCACTGTATATGGCATTATAACACAGAAGACAACTCTTCAAAGAAGGAGATTCCAAATTTGCTGTTTTCATTAGTAACAGTGATGCAGACTGTGCCTAATCATGGTTGATAGATTGACAACTGCCTGAAGTGATGAACCGGCACATTCTTCAAATGAGAAAAAATACCTTACTGGCTGAGACATAGTGGAGTTGAATGCATAGTATTCTAAGACAGCAGCCACTTACAGTGGCAAGGGAACAAAGCAGTTAGGTCTCCACCTTACATGTACAACAAAAGTGGACATAAAGGTAAAGCTATCCCTCTAACAGGCTGTGGAGGCCCACAGGGATGTGAGATGTCAAGGTTCCAATATTTTCTAGACAATCAGCTCACAAATGGCAGCAAGGTTATCAGCCTCACGCCTTTATCCCCAGAAGATTCCTCATACTCATTTCTGTTACAGGTTGTACTGACCCCAGGATCATAGTGCAGCTGGAAGGATTAGGTCACTTGTAAATCCAATTACCTCATTGGGACTTGAACCCATGACCTTCTGCCTTGTAGCATCGTGCCTCAACCAACTACACTACTGCATGCCCCAGTTGAAACATGTAGTGTTGTATAATAAAGAGTTGAAGATGTATATGGCAGGTGTATGTAGTTACATAATGCTTTTGTTACATGTTTCACTAATTTGCTGATTGCTGGTTTGATGGGTGTATTTAGTTTGTGTAATTTTACTGTGCCATGAAGGCTTGGGGGTGTTTATGCTGCAGTATAATATTATGAACAGTTGCCAAACTCAATGAATTTGTAACTTCTTAAACTGTAAAAGGAAACTGCTATACTGCAATGCAAATATATTATATTGAACATGACTAAAAATGAGAATAATTCCAAATTATGCACACATTAAAATACCAGCACATAACATACCACCCCAAAAAATCCCATGCACAAACATTAGCAATAACAATTGAAATAAAATTTGTATACAGAAACAAAACACAGAACTATACCATACACATATACACAACACAAATAATTGGCAACACATTTCAACCAACATGGATCAATTAATAAACCAAAAATTACAATGATAAATGTAAGAAATACACAAAACAAAGATACAAATCACTCTAGAGTAATAAATACCACAAACACACAA